AAATTTCCTGGAATAGATAACTTCGACGACTTGATTGAGTACGATGGCAAATTCTTTGTTATTCTTGGAACCACCAGACAATACAAACTCAACTCGAATTTAGACGTTCGCGATTTTATTAGAATTCGACAACCGTGATTTATCGCGCATTTCATGTTATTCAGTCCGCTTATCGATTCGCATATCTCGTCTGATTTTATATTTAACTTTTTACACGCTGCTAAAGTAACAAAATTTATTTCGCTCGCGCTATCCAGCAACACTCGCAAATGACAATCATCGCCGTTGTTCGATTCAACAGTCACGACAGCTGTTGACATTAATACCCGCCTACGCTCGCTCTCGACTCGTGTATGTTGAACGGATGTGCACCCCGATGCTCCGCCACCAGCCACCGACGACTCCGCCACCGGACCGGATGCTCGCCTCGTCGTGTGACACAATGTATTGTGCCGTTCACCGCATTCTCGACATGAACCGGACCTGCAACTTCTCGGAAAGTGATCGTTCCGGAAGCAATTAAGACAGAGCCTTAATCGCTTAATTTCCTTGATTCTGTCCTCGATGAATAAGCCCAAAAATTGTTTACACGTATAAATGAGATGATGTCCTTGGCACAGATAACACTTCTTCTCCTGAGTGGTTGTTGACAATGCCGTCCTGCTCTGCGATTTCAAATTTGACGATCGCTGTCTATTTGGCCTTTCCCTCTCGCGACTATCGTCCCTCGACTTATTGACGACCTCGTTATCCACGGACGCTCGCCGCAACAGCTGACACTGCCGCTGCAAGAATTCTATCATTGTGCTTGTCGCCACTTCTTCCCTCTGCTCAATGTACTTCTCCCAACGTCTTCTTGTTGCGTTGTCCAGATTCTTCTTGATGAGATAGATAATTAAGTCTCCCCATGACTCTGTTGGAAGTTTCATCACTTGCAATACTCGCAAATGTTTTTCGACGTGATCTACTAATTCCTGGATCGCGCTAGTTGATTCTTGCTTTACCTGCGGCAACTCAAACATACACCGTATGTACCGCCTTCGAATGCCTCGCTCGTCATCGTATCTTTTCCTCAACAAGTCCCAAGCGATGGCATAATTGTCTTCCGAAATTTCGATCGACTCGATTATTTTGGCCGCCTGGCCGCTCAACGAACCAACCAAGTACTGATGTTTCTGCACATTGGTTAATTCGCTGTCAGTGTTTTAAATGTATCGGAGTACCGCTTCCATTCTTCCATATTTCCATTGAACGTCGGCAACTTGATCATTGGCAATTTTACTTGAGGTTCTCGTGCGGGCATGGCCCGTGTACCCAGTCTCTCCAGCAGCTGATTTTGTTGTTCCATAATTCTAGTCAACGCATCATTACTGCTGCTCTCAATTGATCGTTCAGCCAATCTCTGAATCAAAATTGTCTGCTGCTCCAAAACTTGCATCACTGCGGTATTGCCTGTCGAACTTCCGCCGCTGATCGACGATCCCGCGGATGGTGGCTTAAGCTTATCCATGAGTTGCAATAAGGCTGCCTTTATCGCGAAATATCGCTCGTCGAACTCGGTTTCCTCCGTTGCATCTCTCTGACCATACTCGTCTTCCGGTACTAATGTTAATAGTTGTTGTGACAATGTTTGAAATTTCGCGTATATTTCCTCCACAGTGTGAAGGCGCGCCGTGACCTCTTCCGGTGCCGTACCCTCTAGATGACTAGCAGCCTTTGTGATAAAATTTCTTATGATTATTAATTTTCCTTTTAGTTGGCTTCTTTGTCTGCGAAGAATCTCGATACTCATTTCGATATACGTTGTTTCCAACAATTCTACTTGTCAGCTGTTTATCTGCCTCGACCGAAACGCCGAAGAAAAAGCGACAACACGAACACGCCGATATCACGGGGGCAAAAACTCGGTGTCCAATCGTGCAGTGTCCAAAAGTGCGGTGTCCAATCGTGCAGTGTGCAATGATGCGGTGTCCAATCGTGCAGTGTCCAAAAGTGCGGTGTCCAATCGTGCAGTGTCCAAAAGTGCGGTGTCCAATCGTGCAGTGTCCAAAAGTGCGGTGTCCAATCGTGCAGTGTCCAAAAGTGCGGTGTCCAATCGTGCAGTGTCCAAAAGTGCGGTGTCCAATCGTGCAGTGTCCAAAAGTGCGGTGTCCAATCGTGCAGTGTCCAAAAGTGCGGTGTCCAATCGTGCAGTGTCCAAAAGTGCGGTGTCCAATCGTGCAGTGTCCAAAAGTGCGGTGTCCAATCGTGCAGTGTCCAAAAGTGCGGTGTCCAATCGTGCAGTGTCCAATCGTGCGGTGTCCAATCGTGCGGTGTCCAATAATTCTGTGTCCAATCGTTCCGTGTCCAATACTGCGTGTCCAATCGAGCGGTGTCCAATCGGTAAGTGTCCAAACGGGTGTCACCCCCAAAAAACTACACACATAGGTTTGGATTGAATCTCGCTTCGCGTGGAAAGTTGTAAACTCATGTGGAACCTTGCTTCGCATTAAAAAGTGTATGCGTGGATTCTTCAAAAACATTATACTGCTTATATCGCAGAATTTTTATTTAAACGAGAACATGAATACCGAAATAGAATCGAGTCATTTTTCCAAACAATGGCAATAATGTATCCTATAACACCTACAGATTATTTAAATTTGTTATAATAAATGAATATGTATAATTCTTACTTTTGATTATTTTTTTGATCGACTTGCATAAGTGCAAATTCATGGAAAACCATTGAACTTATTTCATACATAACTTTTTAAGGAGCAACGACCGCCGGCTAAAACATTCCGAAGGTTATTCAGGACATTGATCTTGACAACATATGTCAAGGTCAAGGTCATTGGTGAGGTTGCCCTTTTTCTAGAGCTTTACCATACTTTTTTCATAAAATAATAAGATTTTTAGGTTTTTCTGTAATTATATTTTTTTTGTAAGTTAATGTACAGTCGTGGTCAATAATGCCTTCCACCTGTAGTCAACTACTATCTGACCCCCAACTACTATCAACCAATCAGTAGTGATTGGTTACAGAAATAACGTCATTTAATCGTCTTTTCAAAGTTATTTACTGATCAATTAACTAATGCTGTAAATACGTCAATATTAAAATTAACGTATTTATATAAGGAAAATAATAAATATTTTATGATACTTATAAAGTTTACATGACTTTGAAGTGATATTAGTGTAGGAATTGTTTATTATTAAATAAAAATACAAAGTTTAAATAGATGTATCTCTTT